AGATTCTCCCAGGTGGCCACTAAGCAAAGAAAGGTACAATGTATCATTCAAGAACAATTCTTTTCCCTTTAGGATGAAAGCAAGGAATGAAGGAAAGCACTCACTCAGCCTTAAACACAAGACAGGTGGGAAAACTCTGGTACTAGAATATTAAAGTAGGGCCAGCAAGATGGCTCTGAGATAAAGGCATTTGCCTCTGAACACCTGCAGATCTGAGTTGGCTCCCTGGAATCCACATAAAGGTGGAAAGAGGTAACCTACCTCATAAACTTGTTCGCTGACCCCCACGTGTGTGCCAGGACACATTTCCCCAGGCCCACACCATGAACACTTACAATAACAATTAAAGAATATTAAGGGTAGAAGTAAAAAACTGAGGCAGAAGGGTCATCCAGGAATGAAGAGGCCAGGCCCGGCTTTACACTAAGTTCCAAGCCAGCATGGGACACAGAGTAACTACAAAGTTCCCATCTCAAAAACAAAAAAACAAATACAATAAAGGGGATGGTTAAGAGCACTTGTTCTTGCAAAGGGCATAAGTTTGATTCCCAGCATCCACATAGTTGTTCATGACCTTTTGAAACTCAAGTTCCAGGGGATGTGATGCCCCTTTCCAACCTCCATGGGCACCAGGCATGCAAGTAGCACACACACAGAGATAAAATACTCACACACACAAAATAAATCTTAAAAACAAGGGGGGAGGCACCATCTTAACAAAACAGAACTTCAAATCTTACATATTTAAATAAGTGAAAAGGATCTCAAATGTTCTAACCCAGTATTTATTCTTAGAGAAGTCTAGGAAGTATTTTGACATGATTAATAAAGTTGAAGTAATATCATAGGACTTATTGGGTATATGTTAACAGAAATAAAATGACACGCCATTCAGTAAACAAAGAAAAAAATCCTTTTCTTTTTCAGATAGGGTCTTGCTGTCCTGCCATGCTTCAGGACTTGCTATGTATCCCCGGCTGGCCTTGAGCTGGCCGTCCTCCTGCCCAGCCTGTACAGAGTCACTACACTCAGCTTTTGATTCTTTTTGGTCACACAATTATTTAAAGATTTTTATTTTGTTTCTATATGTGTGTGTTTGCATGTGCAAGCCTGCCTGTGTCTATGTGTATGTGGTGTGCACAGGTGCCTGGATAGGCTACTTAGAAGAGGGGATGAGATCTCCTGGAGCTGGAGGAGGAGGCAGCTGTGAGGTTCTTGATGATGGTTTTACGATTTGAACACTGGTTCTCATGATCACTCATCTCTTCAGCCTCCTGAAATTTTTTTTTTTTACACTTAACATTTACAACTACACAGAATTGCAGTCTTCCCCAATTCTATTTTTTAAAATTTATTTATCTGTTATATAGACAGTATTCTGTCTGCATGTGTGCCTGTACAAAGAGGGTACCAGATCTCATCATAGATGGTTGAGCCAGCAAGTGGTTGCTGGGAATTGAACTCAGGACCTCTGGAAGAGCAGTCAGTGCTCTTAACCTCTGAGTCATCTCTCCAGGCTCCAAAACAATTATTTTTATTTAGGAGGTGCAAGCAAGAGGACAAGGTGTTCAAGCTCATCCTTGGCTACATACAAGCTTCAAACCAACCTGGACTCCAGAGGTCCCTACTTCAAAAACAAAGACAGGCTGTATGTATGCCTGTAATTCCAGCCTTGTGAGGCAGGTCCTGAGAGCTCACTGGCCAGCCAAGCTTGTCAATAGCTGAGCTTCTGTGAGGTGAGATGCCTCATCTCAAGGCTATAAGACAGACAATGAAAGAGGACGAGAAGTGACAAAGCCCTGTTTTGGCTTCAGGACATGTAGTGCCTGAGCACACCTGCACCTTCATTTGCATGTACCACATGTCGAGCGTTAGGAATTCAATGGTGAGCGAAGTCCCAAATCTCACTGAATTTTGTAAAGCGTGGAAACTATGAACATAGACAGGACACAGTTCAGTGTTACAGTGTTTGCATAGCATGTAAAAGGTCCTAGGTTCTACCTCCAGCCCTGCAAATCAAGCCCCATGTCAGGGAGAGAAAACAGGTACCCTCAAAGAAAAAGAACTTGAATGGTTTGGCTTCACTCTCTTGAAAAGATTTTCTCAGGTTCATATTTAAAAAGTTTTTATTTTTATTTATTTATTCATTTATTCATTCATTTATTCATCTACTTACCTATTTATTTATTTATTTATTTATTTATTTATTTATTTATTTATTACTTTATGCATGTGTCTGTATGTAGGTGTCACATGTGTCAGATCCCTGGATCTAAAGTTATAGGTAGTTATAAGTTGTGCTAAGTGGGTGTTATGAACCAAATTTGGGTCCTCTGAAAGAGCAGCCAGTTTTCTTAACTGCTAAGCCATCTCTCTAGCCCCTCAGATTGATATTTTATCACCACCATGAAGAAAAGTAGAATACACAGATAGAAAATGACATATTTTAAAATAACCTAAAGCATAGATTCCTCCCGAAGATTGCTCAGTGGCCCAAAGATGCCATCCGTAAGACTGGAAAGACAGCTCCGTGGTTAAGAGCAACTGGCTGTTGGAGGAGTCAACTCTCAGTACCTACATAGTGCTAACAACCTTCTTTAACTCCAGTTCCAGGGAATCCCAAGCCCTCTTTTGGCCCCCATGAATACTGCATACATGTGGTACACAGACATACACACAGACAGAATACCTATATACCTAAAATAAATTAGAATTACAATTAAAAATAAGTAAATATGAATTAAAAAAATCCCCCCATCATTTGTCATTCCAACACAATTTGTCTACTCAGATATTTGGCCACAGGCAGGAGGAAGTATCTTTTTATATTTTATTTATTTATTATTTCAAAGTTTATGTGTATGGATATTTTGCCTGCATGTATGTCTGTACTATGTGTGCCTGGTGCTAAAGGAAGCCAAAAGAGGGGTATGGGATCCCCTGAGAATGCAGATACCTGCAACATGGATGCTTGGAATCAAACTTGGGTCCTATAGAAGAGCAACCAATGCTCTTAACTCGTGAGCCTTATCAGCCTTCTATATTAACAGTTAGACACCTAATTTGCTATTTCTAGACTGTACAATGTAAATACACATATATACAGAGTATATCGTCTTTGCATCAGTTTCTATATCCTTTTTACCTGAAATACTATTAGCACTCACTACATGGAGGACTTTCAGTAATGCCAATGACAACAAAAGTACTTATAGGAACAGACTAGACTGCCGGCAGAATGATCAGAATGAAACGCAGACTAACAAGTTAGTCCTGTTATATCACAGATAATTAGCTGTGTTCCTAGGGGTCTCTAAATACAGAGTGAGGGCTCTTCCAATGTCTGGGTACTGATGCAGAGACACACTGGAGCTCTGATGCCTCTGTTCTCCAACCACAGATACTTTGACAAGAACCTGATTCTTTGTTGTTGTTGTTTTTTCCAAGACAGAGTCTCTCTGGCTACCTGGAAGTCTTTCTGTTGACTAGGCTGGCCTCGAGATCTCCTTGCTTCTGCTTCCTGAGTGCTGGGTTCAAAGGCATGCCTCACCTTCATGCCCCTCCCCCAATCCCACAGAGAACTTAATTCTTTATTAAAGAATGGGTTGCACTCAAAGAAACTAAATGTCACCACGGGGTCTGAAATAACTGGTTAACTGGCACTCTCATTCCATTTTGTTAAGTTTGAGAAATTCTGATAGAAAAGTTTCTGCTCTCTGAGGCAAATGGAACATGTAAGAAGTCTGCATGGCAGCCTGGGCAGCAGCAGCTTATATCTGAAAGCCCCAAGCAAGACAGCCTGAATACTCCCCCACTGACCAGGCCTATAAAGACTGTATGTACTGAGGGAAAGACATATCAAATATGGAGGTGGCTGGGCAATGAGGTGACCTGTGGAAGGAAAGAGTTGGCTGTACTTCCAAGTATTTAAAAAAAAAAAAAAAAAAAGGAAGGAAGGAAGGAAGAACTTGAACTTCACTGGGCCAGTATTACGTCAGTTAAGTGTAGGTGTGGTAGTGTACATCTGCGTTCCCAGTTACTGAGGGGCAGAAGCAGGAGCATCCAGAATTTGAAGTCATCATTAGCTACATATCAACTTGGAGGCCAGCATGGACATCATTTAAAAAATCAAGACCAAGCAGTTTGTGGTGTTGGGTGTTTTTACTCCTAGCAGAGGCAGAGGCAGGTGGACTGCTGCATGTTCAAGGCCAGCCTGGTCTAGTGAGCCCCAGGCCAGCCAGGAATATAGTAAAATTCTGTCTAAAGAAAAGTCTGGAGCGATGGCTGAGAGGATAGAAAGTACTAGCTGAGTCACAAGAAGATCATTAAAAGACAGTGTTTTCCATTAAGAGTACTGGCTGCTCTTCCAGAAGCCCCTAGTTCAATTTCCAGCAACTCCTTGGCAGCTCAAAACTGTTTGAAACTTTCCATGGGATCTGACATCCTCACACATATATACAGGTAAAACACCAACACACATTAAAAAATAAATCATAAAAAATAAAAACAAAACAAAACCTCCAAAACAAACAGGTGACTGTTCTCCATTTGCTGGACTTCCTCAACTGCCCTTTTATCACCATTTCTCTTAAAGTCTGATTGAAACTTTTACCTGTAATCTAAACCCCCCATATAAACCTAAGAGTACAGATTTAGTTTAAATGACACGGCAAGCACTGACTGTGTAGCATCTATAAAATAATCTAAAAAGTTGGTGCTGGAACCAAGGATGTACACAGGGCTAGAGCATGTGCCTACTTTCAACTGCCAGGACAACAGCAAAGGAAGCATCTCTAGGATGGCAAATATGCTTCTACCTTTCTACCCTTTGTGTGGGCACTTCCAAGGAGACCTGGACACTGAGGATCCTTCCAAGGAGACGCGGACACTGAGGATCCTTACAAGTGTCTGGCAGTGCTCCTATTTTTGCTTGGCAATATTTCTAATAGTAAGCATCTACTGGCTCTTTTGCAGAAGCAACTGAGAAGGGATGGACTTACCGTCTTCTGTTTCCTGCCACACAATGCCTTCAAGGTTAACACTGGTTCCAGGTTCACAGGGGCCTAAGCACTCAGGCTCTGTGGCAAGAGCCACATCACATGTGTTGACTCCAACTGATCGGGTACGGACCATGATCTGCTCACAGGGAGATGAGATGTCATTATTGACCACCGGCACCAAAAGGTGCAGTGGCAGCACCGCTGGGGTAGAGACGGGGGACTCCATCTATGAAAGAAGAGAAAGTACTAGCTGAGTTATAAGAAGATCATCAGAGGACATACTGTTTTCTGTACTTGCTCTATTCCAACATCTTCGGCTGCCAGAGTGCAGTTGCTCTGACTACAAGACTTGCTTCTTCCTCTCAAGTTCTAGCTCATGATACCACTCTAAATATGTGGTTTAGACAACAACATCTTAGGCCAGAAGCTATTTATTTACTTACTTACTTTTGTTTGGGTCCAATGTGACCCAGGTTGGCCTCAAACTCCCCAGTAGAGGATGCAGACGATACCCTTGAACTCCTGATCTTCCCGCCTCAACCTCACAAATACTGATATTAAACATGTGTTACCATGCCTCGCTTGATTTTCTTTTATTTGAGGGAGCCTGACTCTTAGCCCAGGCTGGCTTTGAACTCACACTAGCATCCTCCTGTCTTGTCCTCCTGCCTGCCTGCACCCCACCCCTCACTCCAAGGTTTCACCTAAGTAGCCTCGGTTGGCTTGGAACTCTCTTTGTAGAATAGGCTTACCTCAAACTCACAAAGACGTGCTTTGGCCCCATCTCTGAGGTCTATCCCGAGTTCCCCTCTGCACTATACAACCAAAACCAAATGAAACAAAATGACAAGCAGACTTCTATTTTCCCAGCTTCTGAGGTGTATATATTACTGACACCATTGTACTAGCACTTAACAAATTATTTGGTTAAAATGAATGAATATAGGCTAGGGATAAAGAGAATACAGGTTTAGGATTCCTAAGAATGATTCCTAGTTAATCCTAGAAGCTTTAATACAACTTTAGCTAAGAGAAAACTTATAACTTATTGGAGGGCTGGGAGCAATCTGATGGGGGTTTCTGAAACTCAAAGTAGCAGTGGTTGGTTAACGAGTGCTGGGCCTTTGAGTAGGACAGTAACATCTAATTTGTCTGTAAGATACCATGCAGAAGCCAATCCATACCAGTGTGAAGATACAACTGATTATGCACGCACTAAACCATGGAACACCAGTAATCTACTTTGAAAGTTAGAACTTCACAGAACATAAATTATTCAAGTCCCAGAATGAAACACACTTGGTAGTAACAGGGTGAGTGGGGGTCCTTTCATATTTGGAAATATGAAACAAGTATGTTTCATATTTATGTTAAATATTTATTTTTAAAAAACATTTCTTAGTTTTAAGCCTAAATGTAAGTATATGCACCGTGTATGTGTATGTGTTGCCCATAGAGGCTAGAAGAGGGTCAGATCTCCAGGCACTGAAGTTATGGATAGCTACGAGCGGCCACTGGGAAGTTCAAGACCTCTCAAAAGCAGTCAGTGTTCTTAACTGCTGAGCCATCTTTTCAGGCCATTACTTTTATATTATTTTTCCCCAGAGCTGAGGACCAGAACGGAGGCCTTGTGCTTGCTGGGCATGAGCTAAATCCCACGCCCCTCCCTTAGGTTAGGTTTAAGTATGTGTGTGTTTCTATGTGGTGTGCTTGGAGGACAGAAGAGGATGTCATATTCCCCTGGAGCTGGAGGTATAGATGGCCGTGAGCCAGTCAACCTAACTCTAGCCCTCCACAAGAGCAGCTGCACTCTTAACTACTGGGCCATCTGTCCAGGCCTTCTTTACTGCTTGAATACCAGCATATATCAAGTTGACAAATTACCAATGGTGAGTCTATAATGCTCATATCCTACAAATCTTACACACATACAAAGTTCTTAATACACACATGAACTGATTTCCTCTGAATACATGACACTAATCAGCAAGCTTAGAAAATGAGTTATGGATTTGCTTCCTTTTTCCTTATGAAAAACTTTAGCTGGCTTAAACCTGGTTCTTCAAGTGATGAATCCTGTTCCACAGATGAGACTAACAATGACACTGAATAGAGACCTTTGGAAAGACCCACACAACAGCCACAATCCAAGCTGTTGGACAGCTCTGCAATGAGGTTTGGGAATAAGTTAGTGCATGATCACCATTCAGCCTATAAACTCTCCCGTACAAGGACTTGAAAAAAGAAAATCAGTCCCAAAGCTGTTTAGATAATGCTTCCATTTTTTTTTTTTTGGTAGATGGTTTTGATTTCTTAGTTTAGAAAGCTACCACTAGTGCAGAGTTCATAGAGTTCATTTACTGATTCTTTGACTAATTCTGGTCCCTGAAGAGCTGCCCCCCAAAAGCCACCCATATTTTTCTGTGCACTCTCCCCCTCAACACCATATCTTCCATAAAAGGAAAGGAAAGCTGCCTGATCTGCTCTCTCCTGAAAATCACAGATTTATAATTTCCTTTTGTGATATGCTGGGTCTTTGAAAGACCCTTTAAACTTTCCACACAAGACAGGCATGGGGGTATATGCCTTTAATAAATCCTAGTACTCTGGAGGTGGGGGAAAGCTGACCTCTATGGGTTCCAGGCCAGCCATGCCGCACAGTGAGACCCTATGCCAATTAAACAAACAAACAAACAAACAAACAACTCCATACATAGGGTCTGCGGAGATGGCTCAGCGGGTATAGTGCAAACATGAGAACCTGATGTTTGAGTTCAGATCCCAGCACACATACAAAGAAAAGCTGGGTGTGGCAGTGGGTAGTGTGTATCTTCAACTCCCGCAATGGGTAGTGGAAACAGACACGTTCTGGGGGATTGCTGATCAGCTACGCTAGTCAAAATGGTAAGGTGTGGGTTCAGTTAAAGACCCTGTCCAAAAAAAGAAAAAAAAAGGGGGGGGGGGAAGGAAGGCGACAGAAGAGTACATCAGGCATCGACCTCAGACCTCTATACATGCGTGTGCATGTAAGCAAACTCTCTCTCTTCCCTCCCTCCACAGGTTTGAAGGTAAAAACAAAACAAAACAAAATAAAACAAAAAAAAAGACAAAACACAGAAAATGCAAACTGGAATGTCCCTACTGCTGCTTTACAGTGCTGGAATCTGGCTTTGCGAGGCAGAACACACAGACCATCTTCACTCTGGCTATTTCTGTGTCTCTGTTCTTTTTATGAGAAAGAACTGAGAAAGAAGCAGTATCAATTAGTATGTACAGTCTTTATGGTACCAAGATAAATTCCTTCAAGGTACTCTAATCTTCTAGGACATAGCTGGGCATTAGGGGATCATGCCTGTAATCTCAAGTCTTAGAAAACTGGGGCCAAAGGATCACTGTGAGCAAGAAGACAGCCTGGGCTACAAAGAAGTTTGTGGTAAACCTTGGCTCATCACTTCTCTAATTCCAAAGAAAACCAAACAAACCAATCAACAACCCTGAAAACAAACAACAAAAACCCGGGGAACTTGCAGATTGCCTTGCTTGCACACGTTCTGTTGACGATCCACTTCATAACTGAAGTGGCCCGACACAGGAAAGACATCTATTCTTGCCCTCTCCTATTCCAGAATGATATGCTAGTATGCTCTAGATAAGCCAGACCTTAGCTCTCTACTGGGAAATACAGAAAACATCGTGTCTATGACGGAAATGCGACTGCTGTTTTTGAGGAGTATATCATACTAAACATTGCTATTGAACGCCCCAACAAAAATGATAGCTGAACTGCTGTACCTCAGGATTTTTTGTTGTTGTTTGCTTGCTTGTTTTTCGAGACAGGGTTTGTCTGTGTAATAGCCCTGGCTGTCCTGGAACTGGCTTTATAAACCAGGCTGGCATTGAACTCAGAGATCAGTCTGCCCCTGCCTCCCAAGTGCTGGGATCAAAGGTGTGTACCACCATGCCTGGCTAATAATTAATTGTCATTATTTAATTTTATTCTGATGGTGGTATGTGGTAAGGTTTCACTCTAGTCCCAGTTATCACAGTTCTTTCTGTGTAGTTCAAGCTGGCCTTGAATTTATCACAATTCATCTAATACACCTACCTAAGAGTCTATCCCCCATAATGCTGGAATTATATGTTTAAGCCACCACACCCAGCTTCCAAAGATTTTTTTTTTCTGAGAATCCTACTCTAGTCTTGAAATTAATATGTAGTTGAAGATGACCTTGAACTTTTGATCCTCCTGCTTCTAGTTCCTATATGTTGGGATTACAGGTAGGTGTCACTGTGCCCTGTTTTATGCAGTACTGGGGATTGAACCCAGGACCTCCTGCATGCCAGATAAGCACTCTACTGACTAAGCTATATCTCCATCTATCATACCTCAGGGTATCATTAACACATGTACACCAACTACCCTCACAGGTCAGAGTCACTAAGCAGAGCTCTGGGTCTCTGTACGAAGATGGCTTTACTTCATTATGCATTTAATTAGAAGGGAAGTTTGAGAATGGGAAAGCATCATAACTATGAAGTTACTTTTCCTTTCCAAGAGAAATCTAAAGAATGAGCAGAGAGAATTAGTGTTTATTATAATACCGACTGTTAATTATCATTTGGACACATTTAAAATATACAGTAAGCCATAATGCATTATAAGTAGCACTATAGCATACTCTTAACTGTCTAGATGGCACCAGGTGGTGGTGGTGCACACCTTTAAAGCCAGTACTCGGTAGGCAGAGGCAGGTGGATCTGAGGCCAGCCTGGTTTACAAGCAAGTTCCAAGACAGCCAGGGCTACACAGAGAAACACTGTTTCAAACAAACAAACAAACAAACAAACAACCAAATAAAACAAAACAAAACAAAAATCTAGATGGCTTCTATTCCATATTCAACTACTTTCCGGAACAAGCACTGCTTTATTTATCACTCTGCAAGAGAAAATAGTGAAAGTCAGAGAATAACTCACTTTTTATCATTTTCATATACCTAAACCAAAAAACAGAGACCATCAAGAGATTGGCAACAATAGGGTGAGGCCATCAATTTCTCAATAACTACAACACAAGTCTCTAAGATGCTAGGACATGTTTTCAGCCCTCCCTGGGCTCAGCCACATGGCTAGGCAAACAACAAAACAAGCAAAAGCCTGAAAAAGAGACAAAGAATTTAGAATGAATCTCAAGTTTCCTAAAGTCCATTTCCTGTATTTTCTGGT